ACGCAACTAATAAAATTGTATATCAAAGCAATAAATAAATAAATAATACTTGCACACATATTTAAAGTTCACATGAGAGCACATTTCTATAAGCGATAAGTTGGAATTGCAAGCAAGTGTTTGGCTCTTGGCAATGACAAGCCAAATTTTTCACTCATATCCAATTCATTTGGTTTCATCCCATTAGGCAATTCCCAATCAAAGCAATGCATCAACTGAGCCACCACCAACCGAATGTTAGTTAGCCCCAAATGCATCCCGGGGCACCCCCTCCGACCTGACCCAAATGGTATAAGTTGAAAATCCCTTCCCCGGATGTCGACGTGCCCATCCATAAACCTCTCGGGTAAAAACTCCCCAACATTGTTTGACCAGATGCTTGGGTCACGGCCCATAGCCCAAGAATTCACCAAAATTCGTGAATTTTTAGGTATGAAATAGCCATCGATGACAATATCCTCCATCGATTCACGTGGGACTAATAATGGAGCGACTGGGTGAATTCTCAAAGTCTCTTTAATAACCATTTCTAAGTACTCCAACTTTACCAAATCCATTTCTGCCACAATTCTCTCTCCTCCAACGACACTCATGAGTTCTTGTTGGAGCTTTTGGGCCACCCTTGGGTGGGTCAAGATCTCTGACATGACCCACTCGATTGCAGTGGTCGAGGTGTCGATTGCTCCGACAATCATGTCGACTGCGATCGCTTTGATGTTGTTGCGATCGATGGAATAAGAGAGCTCGTCGTGGGTTGTTGTTGAGGATTTGTTGTTCATTAATAACAACATTACATCAATGAAGTCTTTTTTGTCATGGGTTTGGTGAATCCTAGAAGGGTCTTGTTCGTGCTCGGTGATGATGATCTCCAAGATTGTGTCAATGGCCTTGTTGGTTTCCTTGAAGCTTCGAGTCAAACCCTGAATTCAAATGCAATATTTAGAAGCCATATGGTTGACATATTATTCAATGTTAACATTTTTTGTGTGTGTTTTTTTATAGCTTACTTTTGTTTATTTATTTGTGGGTTAATTAGAATTTAGACAGGCGTCTCTTAATGTTTGGAAAATACATACAATAAATCTCACAATTTTAGTATAATTAATTACATTGAGTCTCTTGTAATTTTAATTTATATAATACTTAATCTTATTTTCAACATAATTTGTTAGGTATATTGATAAAAAAAAAAATGTTGTCGTCAATTTTTTTCTTGAAAATGTTTACTTTACATTGTTTATTTTTGTTTTTTTTTTTGTGTTTTTTTTTTTTTTTTTTTTTCCTGGGAAAAAAAAAAAAAAAAAAAAAAATGCAGTTGAAAAAGTTGGGTTCAAAATAATGCCTTTGATTTGGCCCTTCCTAAAAACATTATTGATGGCTTCTTAATTATTGACTTTAGAAATCATTCTTCTTATGCCCATCTCCAAGGACAAGTCCCAAGATGTGAACTTCTCAAACTTCTTGCTCACTCTTGGTTTGCCAATTATGAAAAAAGTAAAACACTCATCATGTACCCAAACTCCTTTAAAAACGTGCAACATTACTCTCCTAGTAGAAAAATGTTATTCATATATAAAATTTATACAAACAACATGAGTAATTTGGTTAAAATTTCTTAAAATAGGTTTGAGAAGTCAAGTTGGTATCATTTGAAAAGTTTAATGCAATAAATCCTGAAGTCAATATTTTTGGCGCAGGAAGTCCATTGATATATAAATATGTTTTTATGGCCAGTCACCTGGTGTTTAGATATATATATATATATATATATGTGTTGTTTCTATCATTGTTTTCTCTCTATCTATTCTCTATCAACAACCGGTGAGCTTAGAGAGATTATTGAAGTAAGATTGTCAAAGAAGTGGTGGTGGTGGAGATAATAAGCGAGACACAAATGGTGTGATGTGCTTGTCCAATGATGATTTTTGGTTTACTCCACATATCATCGTCATACTATCCAACCCAACAATTAAAAAATCTAACCTTTTCGAAACTCTATTGTTTTTTATTCACATGCCCCTTTTATGCATTCTACTGGGATTGAGTTTGATTTCAAAGATGAGGGCCACTGCTGCTTTGAGATGAAACTATGCAGTTTCAAACTAAAACTACGTGGTTCGAAACTAGGTCATTTTTGAATCAGCCTTTTACTACAATATTAATCTTAAAATTACGTGGTTAGTACAATAATCTTAAAACTACGTAGTTTAAAACCAAAATTATGTCGTTTTGAGTCTTTAAAAGTTACAATAAATTTGGCAGTTTCATATAGAATTGGTAGGTGGTTCCAAATGATTGAAAAATAAAATAAAATAAAATAACTATCATTACAAAAGACCGACTCAGCCATCGAACCATGCCTCACTAGATCAAATCCTAATCCCTACAAAAAAAAAAATGCATTGGAATTAAACACACACATATGTAAAACAAAAATTTAGATTACATAGAAGTATATTACACACTTGAGAACTTTGTGGATTGTATGATGCTTGGAAAGACAAGTGTTAATAGTAGGTAAGTTGGTGGGCATGCAAAATTAACATCATGCATGAGAAGATTATATCTGAAATTCATCAGTTGTGGGCAATAGGGTATCTCAACACCCTAGTCCATAAAATATTGTTATTAGCAACTAAATTTTATGATCGCTATGTTAGAACAATATGATTTCAATACAAAGAGGAAGATCTCATCCGTGGGTGATTTGAAGATGAATTCTAAATATTTCCAATGTCGCTTAACTGACGAATAATCTAAAGAGGTTGTAAAGCGTTTATCAGTACATTGCATGCTTTTAAAATTAAATCTAGCCAATTTGAAATCAAGTTGTGAGTGTTGATTTCTGACTACACAACCAAACAGAAAACTCAGCTCGAGAGCACCGGCAAAATAGATTAAGCTCGAACAACCTATCACAGAAAAGATAGGAATCCGGCGATGGTTCGTCCACCCAGGGGTACTCCGACGCTCAAGTCAGTAATCAAATATCTCTAAAAGATGGCAAATTGTGCTTAACTTACAAGAAAGAACTTACTGCTCTCAGTCTATCACACCTTTCTAAGACCCATAAGGGTGCCCTGCTTTTATAGCCAGTACTGACCTGATCCCTGTAAAAGCCTCACTTCAGTGGACTTAGACTCAATGCTCATCCTGAACTCTCAGCTAGATAGGGATAAACTCCCTAAGAGTTTTATCTTTATCCAGACTAAGATCCTCCTCTATTCTAGGACTCTTGCCCCTTATCTGCTTATCTCGGATTCCGATATCTCCACAGATAACCTCGACCTAGCTGAGATCACCTCGGTATCAAGATCAGGCCACGTGGCACCTCGGCTGATACTTTGGCGTCACCTTGGCCACGTGCTGTCATTCACAAAATATGCCCCCACAATTGCCCCCTAGGTTCTATTACCTCGGCAACCTAAGGTGATGGAACCTACATTGCTTATTCATATATTATGTCGGCTAAAATTCATTCTTCCATTCAACCGAGATCATGACTCGTCGGTTTTAAGTACCTAGGACTCAAATGTCTATCTTTACCAATGATCAAGAACCAAAAGTCAAATTCTTTTAATATCTTAACCGAGATCGCTCCTCTAGTCGAGGTTTTTGCTTCATTAATCAAGAACTCCAAGAGTTTTGACTGCGCATGAACTGTCACGCACGATTTTCTCAACCATTTCCTCCACGCGTCCTTTTCTCATTGGTTCATACCTGACATATGCTATTTGGTTGGGTCGCTTCTACACACACCGCTTGACAACACGTCGTCCAAGGCATCCTATTATGTTTTGCCGCCTTTTCATATATTTGACAAAACTCTTCCTTCTCTCTCCGTCTTTTCATTTTTGCAATTCAAAATTTCCCTCGTCTCTCAGAGTCTCTCTCTCTCTCTCTCTAACATTTCTCTTCCAAACCGCCATTTTTCAAGCTCTCAAGCTTTGCAACTGCCTTTTTCGTCACCGCCGGCGCACCATTCATCATTTGACTCTGATCGTTTAAGTCATCTGACTCCGGTGTATCTCACTATGGATTGAATCGGTAAGTCCTTTGATTTTTTCTCTTCAATTTCAGTCTTTCACTGTTTTTGAATATGATATTGTTATGCAACTACTTGTATGTCTCTTGCTATGCAATCTCCTTACTCATCCTCTGATTTTGTTTTGCCATGTTTAAAACATTAAACTTAGTTTTTGAATCTGTTATATGCATCGTATAGCTTATGGTTCTTGCCTACTGCCTTGCACACACTTATTCAGTATTTTGCGTAATTTTCCATATTCTTGAATCTCTGTTGTTTTCCTAATTCTAAATCATGCTCTTTTTTCTGCTTTTCTTGTTTTGTTTCCAAATTCTTGCCATTGATTCTTGTTTCTTTTATAGACTTAGGTTTGGGATTTGATAGAAATCACATTCTTAGGAAAATTGAAACAAATTCCCCTTAAATCTTCAAAATCCCTTACCCTAGTACCTGTTTAAGGGTTTAGCCGAGGTCTTTAAACCCATACCAATCATTCTTTTCTGAAATCTTGCACCAGTCTTCATTTAAGCCGACATCATGGGTATGTTTAGGTGAATGGTAGACACCCAAAAAAAATCGAGTACTTTAGGGGAGAGTTCTCTATCCCAACTGACGTTCAGATCAGGTTAGCTGAGGAGGAGGACTCTATCATACCTGATGGAGACTCCATGCCCTCTCCCGTTGTTACATTCATTAAGTATGGACTTCAGTTTCCTTTAGACATTCTCTTTAGAGAAGTCCTTCACTACTACAAACTCAACCCTATGCAGCTAGCCATCAATTCCTATTAGGTTATCAATGGTATAATCGCCATACCCATTAAGAAAATGCTAGGATAATATTAGCCGACATCCAATTTTGTTATACCATGTGTGGCCTAAAGTCTAAAAAATGCTACATTTATTACCTCAAGCCCAGATCTTCTACCTACAAAATCATAGCCAACCTCCCAGACTCCAACAAGGGTGCTGGAGATGATTACCTGATCATCTCAGGTAACTGGGAGTTTGCTCCTGATGATGATCTTCATCTCTTTCCTCTGCGCCGATTGGTGTTTAAAGAGGATGAGGGTAAGAACTAAGTGTTAACTTCTCTGTTTAAGACTTTATCACTTTATTTCTCTTATCTGTTCTAATGTCTGCTTTTTGCTCTTTGCAACTCTCTCTCAACCATCAAAAGACTTCCGCCAGTCCTTCTTCCCCAGCAAAGACCTGAAAAAGGCTGCAAGGCCTGTCTGTCAACCAGTGCAAAGCCCCTCTACTACTCAATTATATCTCAACATACAAGTCGGCCTTGCTCGACGTTCCTAGGCACAGCAAGACTCCTCCGTCTGCTTCCACTCCACCAATCACTTCATCGCCAAGGCCAAACCAAGCCTCCTCTTTAGATCACGTTGAGGTGCCATCAACCTTTGCCCCCTAACTTATCCCGACATCCCAGCGTTGACACCGACGTTGTGTCCCAGCAAACGTTCCAGCCCGCAGAACTCGTAGCCGCAAACATCGAGAATTTGAGGCGTCGGCTTACGATCCAGCCAATCCCTTAATCGCCCTTCCAGCAATACACTTCGGCATAAGAGTCAACGTTGCTAAAATCGCTGACCACATGGGCCGTAGCAAAGCCATTGTCGAAGACCTTCTAGCCGACTTGCCAGGAGTGGTTATTGTCACCTCTTCTCCATCAGAGTCCCAGCCTAAGCCTAAGGCAAAAAATGTGAAGCATACCAAGGCAAAAACTACTGTGACTCAAATTGACATTGAAGACACCGTGCCAATCTCGAGATTGGCAGAGGTTGAGAAAAGTGCCTCCAATGCCAAGAAGAGGCCTGCCGAGGCCGAGCCATCCGATACCACTCGGTTGAAGAAGCTAAGGTCCATAGCCGCAGCAAGCCCAAGTGCCTTCAAAGGCGATGAGCCTTGGGCCCCTATAATCATGATTGGTGATAAGCGAATGAAGGCTGGTGATAGCGCCATCGATAGTATCGAGGTAGACGCCGTTCTTTCCACAACTGTGCTCCTTCCAACTGATCTCAATCGCATAGCCAAGATCAATGAATATAAAAAAATTTCTTTGATGATGCAGCATTCCATCTTGGTAAGTTCCCAACACTTAGTACTTTTTGGCTTTTACTTTAAGTTCTTCATACTTAGGAATTTTACTAACTTGTTTGTTTCTTTCTTTCTAGGCTATCCAGCATGTTCACTCATTTACGATGAAGGCCGAGGAGATGAAGAAGGAGTTAACAAAGAAAACACAAGACACTGTTGGCTTTCTTGCCTCCTTGAATAATGTTGAGGCAAAAATGAAAGTTCTACTAGATCAAGCCAAGGCTGCAAAAAGTGCTCAAGATCAGGCCGAGGAGAGCACCAAAGCGGCAGAGGCTATGGCCGAGGTTCTCAAAGCCAAGGCCAAGGAGGTTGAAACCAAAACCTCCAAAGCCCAAGCAGAGCTCCAAGAAGCCTTGGCCACCAAGGAGGCCGAAATCAAAACCGCTGATTAGAAGGCATTCTTAGAGGGACAGCCTGCCATCCGTGATGCATACAAAGCCCAGGTTAACCAAGCTTGTAACCAAGGCTTTTACCTAGGCTGGACGGCAGCTCTAAATAAACTTTTTGTCCTAATGGATTCCTCCCTTAGAGACATCAGCCAACTCCAAGTGCCTTTTTCCCCATCTCCCAAGAAGTCCGAGGACGAAGCTGAGGATGAGGACATTGAGGCTGATGATGTTGATAAAGAGGAGGCTGCTACTGGGGCCAAGTCCCCTACTCTGAACGAGCAAGTCCTTGACTTGACTCAAGATGAGGAAGACGAGGTCTACAAAAGTGCCTCTCCTAAGAAGACCACATCTGAAATTGAGGTACAGACCGCTGAGAAGAGCTTTGACCAGACTCTTCTCGAGATCGACGCCGAGATAGAGGCTGAAAAGACTACCGAGAAGCTTTCCCAACTGTCTATTGAGGCCGAAACATAGCCAACCGCCGACACAGAATAATCTATTTAGAATCTCTTCCTTATTTGTTCTTTGTTTTTTTAGTTGTAACCTTCTATTGTTCGTGCCTTCTTTTACATTTGAACAAGAAGCTTTCTATGCCAAGTCGCAGTGCCTTTTTTTAACGTGTTTCTTCTTATAAATGCAAGTTTGCTTTTTGACTAAGTGTTTGAATGCATGATTCATCTGTCTTCACAACTTTGTATTCTTCCATACTTAGAATAATATTACAATTCTTCAAAATACACCTTAACTGTGTAATCAATTTGGGTTATAGTACCTCGAATATAAACCTTGACTGTTTGTCTCAGCCAACAATTAGAATACCTCGGCTAACACTTAAGAATATTTCAAAATATTCTTACAAGTGTTATTTCTTAAAACTTATTCAGTCAAGCATTGCTTCTGTACTTCCACTTGTTGTCTTCTATCAAGACTTTACATTTCTAACCTTACCAAGCTTGACAACTTGGTTGGTCATCTCGAGTAATATGTACCTCGGATACTTCTTTCATCATTACCTTGGGTAACTGCAATTTGTAAATTGTTCTGAAATTTCAACAAGTGTCAAGCCCATTCTAACTTGTAAATTTTTCTAAAAATTTCTACAAGTCCTAAGCTCTCAAGTTTATTTATCATCCCTGCTTCCTGCCCCCTAATGTGAGCCTAAGTTCCACTTAAGTTCACATTATGTGTTTATGGTCTTTTGTCAAAGTCAGATTCAAACAAAGACTAACCGAGGTCCAACCTTGGTTTCTCTGTTAATCGACCTTAGTTCTATTCTGAGTTTAACTCTGCCGACATAGCAAGTCAAGGTTAATTTAACTTAGTTCAACTCTATTATGTGGAAGTATAATTCAACTCTGTCATATAATAAGTCTAAGTTATTCGTCATGTTTCATTCAGAAACATCGCCAACTTTGTTCAACTTTATTATATGAAAATATAATTCAATTCTGTCATATAATAAGTCTAAGTTATTCGTCATGTTTCATTTAGAAACATCGTCATAGGACTGGTCAATCCTATCGCACAAATTTCGAAATCATAAAAATCAAACTAGCATTTTATTATTACTTCGGCTAATAAAATTATGACACAAATTTCGAAAAACAAAAAACTAATGATAAAAAAATTTCAAATTGCAAGTGTTCCAGGGTCTTGGAAACTCTTTGCCATTAGTGTCTTCAAGCCCATATGCCCTACTGTTGGCAACCGAGATGATTCTATAAGGCCCCTCCCAGTTTGGGCCAAGCTTGCCCTCCCTAAAATCCTTCTTATTGCCAAAAAATTTTCTCAAGACGAGGTCCCCAACTTTGAACTCTCTTGGGTTTACCTTCTTGTTGTAAGCCTTAGCAAGCTACTGCTGATATGCCTTCAGCCGAATTACTGCTCTCTCTCTTCTCTCTTCCAGCAGGTCTAGATCTTGGGCCAAGAATGCCTTATTAGTCCCATTCTCTACTCCCTGGGTTCTGATTTCAGGGATGCCGACTTCTAATGGGAAAATTCAAAATATTCTTACAAGTGTTATTTCTTAAAACTTATTCAGTCAAGCATTGCTTCTGTACTTCCACTTGTTGTCTTCTATCAAGACTTTACATTTCTAACCTTACCAAGCTTGACAACTTGGTTGGTCATCTCGAGTAATATGTACCTCGGATACTTCTTTCATCATTACCTTGGGTAACTGCAATTTGTAAATTGTTCTGAAATTTCAACAAGTGTCAAGCCCATTCTAACTTGTAAATTTTTCTAAAAATTTCAACAAGTCCTAAGCTCTCAAGTTTATTTATCATCCCTGCTTCCTGCCCCCTAATGTGAGCCTAAGTTCCACTTAAGTTCACATTATGTGTTTACGGTCTTTTATCGAAGTCAGATTCAAACAAAGACTAACCGAGGTCCAACCTTGGTTTCTCTGTTAATCGACCTTAGTTCCATTCTGAGTTTAACTCTGCCGACATGGCAAGTCAAAGTTAATTTAACTTAGTTCAACTCTATTATGTGGAAGTATAATTCAACTCTGCCATATAATAAGTCTAAGTTATTCGTCATGTTTCATTCAGAAACATCGCCAACTTAGTTCAACTTTATTATATGAAAATATAATTCAATTCTGCCATATAATAAGTCTAAGTTATTCGTCATGTTTCATTCAGAAACATCGCCAACTTAGTTCAACTTTATTATATGAAAATATAATTCAATTCTGCCATATAATAAGTCTAAGTTATTCGTCATGTTTCATTTAGAAACATCGTCATAGGACTGGTCAATCCTATCGCACAAATTTCAAAATCATAAAAATCAAACTAGCATTTTATTATTACTTCGGCTAATAAAATTATGACACAAACTTTGAAAAACAAAAAACTAATGAAAAAAAAACTTCAAATTGCAAGTGTTCCAAGGTCTTGGAAACTCTTTGCCATCAGTGGCTTCAAGCTTATATGCCCTACTGTTGGCAACCGAGATGATTCTATAAGGCTCCTCCCAGTTTGGGCCAAGCTTGCCCTCCCTAAGATCCTTCTTATTACCGAAAACTTTTCTCAGGACGAGGCCCCCAACTTTGAACTCTCTTGGGTTTACCTTCTTGTTGTAAGCCTTAGCAAGCTACTGCTGATATGCCTTCAGCCGAATTGCTGCTCTCTCTCTTCTCTCTTCCAGCAGGTCTAGATCTTGGGCCAAGAATGCCTTATTAGTCCCATTCTCTACTCCCTGGGTTCTGATTTCAGGGATGCCGACTTCTAATGGGAAAACCGCTTCAATGCCATAAGCCATGGCAAAAAGAGACTCCCTAGTTGATCTTCTCGGCGTAATCTGATATGCTTAGAGCACATTAGGCAACTCCTCCACCCACTTCCCTTTTGCTGCTTCCAGCCTCTTCTTGATCCCATCCAAGATAGTTTTATTGGATACTTCTGCTTGACCATTGCTCTGAAGGAAACTTGGAGTGGAGTAGTAGTTCTTGATTTTGTACTTTGCGCAAAAGCTTTTGATTAACTTACTATCAAACTGTGTACCATTATCTACTATTATTTCCCTTAGGCAGTTGTCCAACAAGATCCATGCCCTACTGGGCAAATGGCCAAGGGCTGGATACTAGGTTCAAATATGATGCTGGTTGATGTATTAAAGGTGCAAACCTTTAACACTTCTCGCACTTTCTGACGTAGGCTTCAGCATCCTTCTACATGTAAGGCCACAAGTATCCCTAAGTGATGGCCCTATGAGCAAATGATCTGCCCCTAGCGTGGCTTCCATAGACTCTTTCATGAATCTCATACAGAAAGTCCTCAACTTGGGAGGGATGCGCATATCTCAAAAGGGGTCTAGTGAAGGATCTCCGGTAGAGATGGCCATCTGCTATTAGGCTGAACCTGGCCGACTTCAATATGGCCTTGTGCGCCTCTTTTCGGTCATCTGGCAGCTTGTCATCCCTGAGGAACATTAATATTGCATCCATCCAACTTGGACCCACTCCACACACATTGCCGCATATTCTGTTATTAGAGGTTCCACTCTTGGTCCTGTCAAGTAATCAATCATGAATATCCTTGGCTCTCCCGACTTTATTGCACTAGCCAGGTTGTCCAAGGCGTCGGCTTGACTGTTGTCATC